TGTACGAACGAGACAATTTCTTTTTATTCTCATCAGTAATTTGTCTTGGATTTTGAAGATGCATTTGATACTCTGTGATATAAACTACAAAAAAATATGTGAAGAACTTGTAACAATATAAAAAAACCCCTAGCTAATAATATTTATTGTTGCAGGAAATACCGGGTCTGACAGACATTAACGTTCCGCGTCGTCTAGGACCCAAAAGAGCAAGCAAGATTCACAAGCTCTTTAATTTAACTAAAAAGGACGACGTACGACAGTTTGTCGTAAAACGTCCAGTCCAAAAAGAGGGNAAAAAGGAGCGTCTAAAGGCTCCAAAAATCCAACGCCTTATAACTCCCATTGTTCTTCAGGTGCGTGATTTTTCNCAATCGAGAGAGAAACCAACAAGAGAGTTTAAAGATTTATTAAAATCGTGAAAAACTTGAATTATATTGTTGTTGAATTAAGTATCAAACTTGTCTTCGAAAACGTAATGTGAAAATTTATATTGTATTTCTGTGCAGAGAAAACGTCACAGATTGGCACTGAAGAAAAAGCGTTGCTTGGCTCGCAAGGAACAAGCCGCGGAGTACGCGAAATTGTTGGCGCAAAGACAAAAGGAGGCGAAGAACAGACGACAGGAGGAACTCAAACGTAGGCGCAGCGCCTCCATGAGGGACTCCAAGTCGGCACTCACATAACAGTAACTCCATAGAGCTTATACTCATGGAGAGGCCTTGCGACCGTAAGGAGGATCGACAAAGAGAGATATATTTTTCTGTTTCAACTGTGGCCACTTCTTATAGAAGAGAATAACAGAGAACACGGAATGGGGGGAGCCACAGTTGAGACAAAATATATCGAAATATATCTCTCTTTGTCGATTCTCCCGGCGGAGCCCTCTCTATGGTTAGCATATAGGCAGGGCCTCTCCATGAGTATAAGCTCTATGAGTAAATCTGATAATTCTGCAAAAATTCATAATATACATAATAAAAAAATAAAAAAAATAAAATAAAACATCAACCGAGTGTTCTCGCTTCTCTTTCTGCCTTTCGTCCTTGTCCTACGACAGATCTGCGAGTCGATCCCGATCTTTGTTGCTCTTTCTCTTCGAATGGTAAGATTGGAACAGTGTTGTTGCGAAGTCGCGTTTTCACGTATGCGCATTGTACAACCAATTAGGTTCCCATAAAAGCTGTGTTTTTAAAGGCGCATGCGCCTTTAAATGTAGCATTACTGCCGTACTAACTCCGACATTATTAAGGTTCTGTAAAGACCCAAATAATTTTTCATGATTAACACGTG